CTGGGAGTTGACCCTTTGTATTTATATTCTCCTCACTGTTCACTTTACATCTCCTATGGCACTGGTAAAGAGAATTTGATTGACTATCAGTAGCTTCTGGAATTGGAGGTTATTTCCTTTATTCTCATGACCTTAACCCTTTAACACCCAGATCAAATTTGTAATTCTCATTACTATTAACTATACAGTTCTTATAATGTTAGTTCAGAGAAATTAGTATTGGATCGACTAATTATCCCCAAATTGATATATTTCTTTATTCTCACCACTTGCCTGCTTGATATTGCATTTATACTGTTAGGAGAAATTCTGTCTTGGTCACTCATGGGAGTTAAAGGGTTGATGTGGGTTAAAGAGTTGAGTGCATCAAAGCCACTGACTGCTCAGCCTACTTGATAGCATCTTTGTTTTTTTTTTATTTCCATCTGAAATCTCTCATATCTCTCTCTCTCTCTCTCAGAATAAGGTAAATACCTTGGAATGTAGTAGCTTGTTTTGGTTGGTGGCCTTTTGTAGCATGTATTTCTAGAATTTCATTAAATCATTTTTTTTAACCATTCCATCAAGTGGCCCTCAAAATGGTTCTATGTGCAGAAGTACTGAATCAGATCACAATTTCGCTGCAATACATCTATTGCCAAACGGAAGAAACTCAACAAGTCAACCTCAACCTTGTTCCGAGGTCTTTTTTTCCTTCCCTCCATTCCCCCTCATGTTGAACAGCATCAGGAAGAGAGACATTGGGTACAAGGTTGAATAAATGTGTTTGTCCTCAGAAAGGATACAGGGTAGTATTAAGCATTCTTTTGTTCCAGGACTAAATTAAGCCTTTAACTCCCATGAGTGACTAAGACAGAATTTCTTCCCACAATATCAGTACAATATCAAGCAGACAAGTGATGAGAATAAAGAAGATACCAGTCAGGAGATTGTAAGTTGATCCGAAACCAAATTCTTCAAACTAACATCACAGAAACTGTATGACAGACAGAAAGGAGAATTACCAATGAGATCTTGGGAGTTAAAGGATTAAGAAAGGGGTGAAACGAGTGAAGGAAAAATGTTTAAGATTGGTTTCCACACTTTTCTTGCTAATAATTTTAACCCTTAAACTCCCAGATCAAATTTGTAATTCTCCTTACAGTCAACCATGTAATTTATATAATGTAAGTTCAGAGAATTTAGTATTGGATCAACTTATTATCCCCAAATTGATATTTCTCTTTATTCTCAGCACTTATCTAGTTGATATTGTATTAATATTGTAGGGAGTAATTCTGTCTTGATCACTCATGGGAGATAAAGGGTTAAAAGTGGCTGCAAATGGTAGAACAGATGGCTGAGACCACTAAAATGTTGACTGAAGTCAGCCCAGTCTTCATGCAGTTAAGTTTGTGCCATTTTGGTTACGTGACCAGGATGTTGTGCTTAGCATGGTCGTAAAGTTTGTCGTAACCCTTTGAGCACTAAGAGCAACTAACATCTTATTTCTCACTACAACACCACCCCTTAATCAAACAATAAGGTCATGAGAATAAAGGAAATGATCACCAGCTAAAGAAGCTCTTTATTGTTGAACAAATCCTCCTTGTCAGAACCCAAGGAAATGTCTAGAGAGTAGTATGGAGAATAAAGGGGTAAGTTTCTAAAGAAACTGTGGTGCTGCGTTGGTGGGAGAGTATAGCAGGTAATTTAGTGTTAACAACTGGGTTGAAAACGTAAATTAGCCACCGTAAAGGGTAAAAAAGCTGACATTTCGAGCGTTAGCCCTTCGTCAGAACAATTCCTCTAATCACTCTGACACAGGGCTAACGCTCGAAATGTCAGCTTTTTTACCCTTTACGGTGGCTAATTTACGTTTTCAACCCAGTTGTTAACACTAAATTACCTAGTATGGAGAATAGGCATACTGATGTTATAGAGTAACCTACCAAGGCTGAACAAGTTTTATGGTTTCTGTTCTGATCAGCTAATTCTACCAGCCACAACTATAATGGATTGTCTAATCTATGTAGTTACAAAGGTCCATAAAAGTCTTTGAAATACAATCTTCTCAGATTACTTCATGAGTACTGGACTGCGAGGATCTAACCTCAATTGATCACCTTGGGTTTTCAGACAGATCCTGTAAAATAATTAACCCTTTAACCCCTAAAAGTAACTAGAATCCTACTTCTCCTTACATTATCTCTTCTGAATCAAACAGTTAGGTCATGAGAATAAAGGGCATGATCATCAACTAAAGAAGCTCTTCATTATTACACAAATTCTCCTTGTCAGCACCTAAGGAAATGTAAAGTATAGAGAATATCCATGCTGATGTTAGGGTGAAAAGGTTTAATAGAATACGAGCTAAGAAACTGAAAAAGTTTTATTCTTTATTGAGGTTCCTATAAGTACTTGATTTACAATGAAATATGTAAAAGAAAACAAGTTACATTCACATTACTGCAAGACAGTATCAATTGGACATTAAGATCTTGTGACGTCTAACTGAAATTTGAAAGGTGGATTGCATTTGTGGTCATCAGTTATCCACGTGTATATTTTCCCCAGATGTGAAGCATAAAGACTGAAGCAATGAACAATAAACTCATGACCAACACAGGAACAGGGCCACTGTTGGGAAGAAAGAAAACCCAAGTTAAAAAGTAATAAATATTTAAGAAGAGCAACTTTAAAACCTTGGTCCATCACCAAAATACAACAAAACAGTTACATAAGAAATACACTGAAAAACCAAGAGAATTTCAATTTCCTTCTTTAAAGTTGCTCTCAATGACTAAACTGATCTGCAAGCTGTTCACCATTACATTGCCTTGAAGATTCTTTCCAAGGTGAGTCATCAAGCAGACATGTCAGAAAACACAATACATTGTGCTATCCTTGAGATCATCACACATTGCTGTTCACCCATGGCTTTAACTCCCAAGATCTCATTAGTAATTCTCCCCCATACAGTTCTTATGATGTTGGTTTTGAGAATTTGGTATTGGATCTACTTATAATCCCCTTATTGATATTTTTCTTTTTTTCTCATCACTTGTCTGTTTGATTTTGTATTGATATTGTAAGGAGAAATTCTGTCTTGGTCACTTGTGGGATTTAAGGGTTAACAAAACTCCAGCAAAAAGTTCTCCTCAAGTAATTAATATTGCCCACTTTGGATATATTAAAGAAAGGGTCGGGAGTGCTAAAAGGAAAAAATGTGCCCTTTGTGTTTCTTGTTATAAAAAATGTTGTTGTTCATCGTGGTTTTAAAGATAAATGAGTGTTAAATCATCTGCCTCAAGATGTGAGAGTCAGGCTAATCAGTTGTGTTAAATAATGTGGTTTCAACTGCTAGTCTTTATTAGGCAATGAGATTGAAAGTTTTTTCTCATTTCATGTAAAATGTAACTGTAACCAAAGGCTACTTACACTTTGAGTCCTGGGGAATCTTCAGTGTAAAATCTCCACATTCCACTACTACTGGCTGCTGATCGAGTTCTTGCTGCAGGGGCAGCACTTCCACCTTTCCTGTGATGAAATAAGACATTCTCTTTAGCAATTTTCAGCAATACCATTTTTTCATCTCTCTTTGAAGGAATTCTGATTTGGGAGAAATTAAATAGTCCCTAGACAATACATCAACTTGAAAATATATCCAGTTTTGTTGAGAGTAAGTAATTGTAGATCAATGGTGATTCTTATTTATTCCCTGGTCTCTTTTTCAGAAAATTTTGCAATGAAGGTGAAATCTTTCTTACAGTGGCTTTAGCTGCTAAGAGCAATAAGCATATAATTTTCCCAACAGTACCATACTCAAATCAAAGATTATGTTCAAAAGAATGAAAGAAATGATTGAAAGTTCAAGCTCTTGATTATTAAGCACAGTCTCCTAGTGAGAACCTTAGTAAATGCATAGAGAATGGTGAAGAAAAATACACAATCATGCTAAGGTATAATGTCATTATATTCTCAAAAGGGTCATTTTTTGATAGACGAAATACATTTTTTTGGCAGCAACATCTGTTTAACATTTTTTTTCACCTGGATCCGAGAGTAATTCCCCTTTAGGAGTACGTTCTTCACCCAGTATTGTCTGGTATTGTATATCTATGCGTTCTAAGCTTACGCGTACGTGTAATAACTAGAACAGCTTAAAACACAAATTACATATCCTATAAATTTGTATCGGGGACTACAATTCCGTTACTTTCAAGTGTAGAGCAAAGCACAAAACATTATCGTCTAAGGGTTAAAGAACATGTAAAAGGTCACATCCTAGCGAAACAACTCAACGGTTTGTACCGATACAAATCCCAACAAGAACTCATTGTAAACTCACGCAAAAAACATAACACGAAATATTAAGAAACGACAAAATAAGCCAGCAAAAGCAACAAATGTGGATCATATTGCTTAGGGTTTGGCTTCCAAGAGAAGCTAAATAATACTTAAATACGTGGTTTTTAAAGAAGAAAGCAGTCTTGTCACCTTTGTTTTACTTGTGTTCCGCCAGACGAACGAGGGGTAACCGATTTTGAGCCGGATCTGCCCGATCCGACTGTCGTAGAAGAAGCTGATTGAACCTGTTGGTAAATAGGAGAAAATTATTCAGATAAAGTCTTTGTGTCATGGATATAACTTCCATAACTCCAGAATTTTTCTCGATTGAAATTCTACATCTCTCTCACCATGTTGATGACTCGTCTTTTAAGACAAAGAGGAAGCAGATGATTAACGTCACGATTTTCCCATAAGCCATTGCGCTGAGACGAAGCTGGTATTGGCACCAAGCCCTCAATAGGATGACGGTTCCTCTGACCCAGTCCCATAAGCTTGATTTAATTTAAATAAATGTGGGCAAATGAAAGAAAAGAATGGAATTAAAAATTTTTCGAGAGTAGAAAACAAAAAATGTTTAAATTCATTTTAGTAAGTCCATTATGTTTACTGAATGGAGTAAAGTTTTTTTTGTTCCCTATACTGTTTACGTTTAGAACCTTTTAAAACGCCAAACTTCTGTTTGTTCTGTGAAGTTTGACGAAGCCAGTGCTGCAATGCATGCTGTGTTTATGCAGAGAATTGCTGTTTGGAGACAAAAAGAAGACGGCTTATGAACTTAATCTCCAGCGCCTTTTGTTGTCTTCAGAACTGGGCAGCTGGTTTCACGAAAAAAAAAAACCTAAATTATTCATCAACGTTGGTGTTGACCGTAAGATTATGGAAGCGGTCCGCGCAGGCGAAATAAGACGAGTGTTTCGGTCTAAATGTGAAATCCAAGTAAGTTATTTTGGCAAAGTTAAAAGGAGTCTTATCGCGGGCTTCGACCGCGCCTATTGGCCCGAGATCAGCCAAAGAAATTGCTGCACCGTGACTCTTTCAGTTTACATCTGTTTCAATTTACATCTGTTTCTCACTTCAGCTCAAAATGCCAGTAAATCAAGCGACTCTTAGCAAGCTAGAAGCCGTCTTAGCCCGACTGGAATTAGTAGCCGATAAACTTGGCCTAGCTGAGTGTTCGATTAAAAAAGGAGGAACTGAAGCGGACATACAGGCTTTAGTGGAGCGTCTCGAAAACGTGGCAGGAAAACTCGAACAGCTAAAATCTGGAGCGAGCGGCGAAGGTGACTAAGGGGAAAGAGCTTTCATTTATTTTCTTAAAAGAAAAATAAAACAACCGAGTTTTTACTGAACTTATTCCTCCGTTCAGCAGGATCTGGAAAGATTGTTGAGTTCTACGATGAGGTAAAGCGAATATAGATGTTATTTTCTTTCATCGTCTGTTTACAGGCTTCTATGATTAATTTTCTTACGCAACGATGTTTATTTAATTTTATTACTACCTCTCGTGTAGTTTCTCAAGGGGAAGATACAGGTCTTTTTCAAATTATCAAATGAAATAGGAGGCGATTTGAAAGCACAGGTAAGAGTGGATATTTAATTTTTCAGAACATGGTTGCGTGACTAAGATACGTACTAAACTCGTGTCGATTTCATTTTCAGGTGGATCTAGCCAAAAACACTTTTCAAGCACTGAGGGATTTTCTGATGAAAGCTTCTCAAACAAAAATACCTTCTAGAGTAAGGGAATCCTTTTAAAATTAACTGAAATTTAAACATTTAAGCGAACTTGAAAAGAAAAACAGCGCACAGATTTGCGTGGCATGGATCGGTGATATGATAATTTGCATTTCAGCTTTGAGAATGGCCAGTGCTTCTAGCGGTCACGATATGTCACGCAAAATACATGAGAAGGGCAACGACAAAATTTTTAAGAGTTTTTTCAAGCTGTAACGTAGAAAGTCAATATTACCTCAAATGACAGACATCGATTTGATTCTGTATCGACCTCTCGCCCGGTGGCTTTGCTGTCCTCCCCTTCTCTGTCAGGTGTGGAGCGATGAAGAAGGCAGCGTACGATCTAAAACTGGTAGTAGACGATTGGAGGGTAAAGAAAAACTAGTATTAAAAATTAATTCAGCCTCAGATTGGACCAAAAAGGAATTTCAACTAAAAATGTTAAAACAATTTAATTCTCAGAGTCAGAATTATAAAAGATGTATTACAGACAGTGCTAAGAATTGATCGTTCGATCTTGGCAGTAAAAGAATTTTACACATATATTTGTATATTTTACTTTGCAAATGTATTTGCTAATATTTTCCTTAGAATATTATTAATTTTCCTTTAATGACACGTGAATAAGTATCTTGAATAGTTTGCTTATTTTTGTTTCAGAATGAACTTGCCTCCATGGTTAAACCCATTGCTCAGTGTAGAGAGGAAGTGGAGGTATTTTTTTAATCATTTACGCGTTCATTTTCCTGTTTTATTTCCCTGGAAGTTGCTTGCAATTTCCCTGGTTCATTTCTGAATCAGGGTGTCGGCCGAGATATGTCCGTCTTACCTCCCCTCCCCCCTCCCCCACGCAATTTCGTGCGAAAGTCCCTGAAAATAAACCTCCGTTCGTTCCCAGAGCCCGGCTGACCTCTTTGTCTTGCCTTTTTTTATCGCACAGACGATCTAACAAAAATTCAACTACTTCCATATTCGAAACAGGAGTATGTCTTTTAAAGAGAACGTTTCAAGTTTTAAAAAAGTGAACCCAAGCCAGTTTAAAAAGTCGGTCATAGGAGTACAAGACCAGCACAGGAGAAGTCTCTCATGCAAAGGTCTACGAGTCCAGCCAGGATCAAACCTCATAGAGCAAAATAATCCAATTGTATTGGTTTTGCTTCACTTCGCTTGTGATTGGTCGTGTCACTCTCTCAACCAATCAGATGCAAACCTAAACCAATCACGACTTGGTCGCCCGCGTTTTCCCGCGCTTTGGTAGTGTGGTTGTTTTACATTGAGTTCTCATTGCCATTTAAGGATATCTTCCTTTTTTCTGATTTGTTGTTGTGATAACTTTGGTTTTGGTTTTACGACACTCGATCGAAAAGCGCTCTAGATGTTCAACTGATAGGCTTTGTATACGACACTAATTCGAAAAGCTCTCTAGATGTTCAACTGAAAGGCTTTACTTCTTCCAGGCTTTCCGTGACCGTAACCGTTCCAGCAAGCAGTTCAATCATCTGTCAGCGGTCAGTGAGGGAATGGATGCATTGTTATGGGTTGGAGCGGTAAGACTATGTTCACGTATGTCTACAGCGTTTTGTTGTAGCGCTTTTTGTTAAACAGTTACTGCGTGGAGGATGCAAATAAAGAGCCGTCAAGATGTTGCCCAGAAAGGGAACTGAAAAAATATGAGAGACAGTGCGCCTTTTGATACAAATCTATTTTTTTTACTCTCAAAGCCCGGAAAACCAGATATTTTTGTGAGGGACAGAAAAGATGGAGCAGTTTTCTACGCAAACCGAGTTTTGAAGGACTTCAAACAGTATGTATCATAAAAATTGAAATTAGTCAGGAAGTTATTTAGAGGACAAATTGAAGATAGACTCCAAAATTAAGTGATCGTTTTTGTTTACAGAAATCCATTGCACACTGAATGGGCTCACAGTTTCATCGGCGCTTTGATTGAACTACAACAGTACTGCAAAGAGTTCCATCCGATGGGTGTCACGTGGGCGTCTTGACTGAGAGAAAGGAAAATACATATACTTTTAATGGCCGCCAGTTAATCTAAGAGAGGCTGGGTAATGCACAAAAGATAGAGGCTCACTGGCGACTAAAAACAGGAGGATAAACCTCGAATGATTTAAAAATGAATGAAAAATAGCAAAAAAAATTTAATGGTATTTCTTGTTCTGTTTCGTTTTGCCTAAAAAAAAGAGTTTGTCGTTTAGCAAATACGAATAAGTGTACCTGCAACCACCGTGCCCAATTCCCCGCTTCTCGTCTGGACATATAGAGCCGCTTAGACCAAAGAAGCAGTGGTCACATCAAGGAACTTGGGTAGTTTTTCTTTTCTAGTCTGTGAATTTTTGCGGTAAAATTTTGAGACAACGGTAAGTCAACCCAACTTGGATTGGGCGGAGCTAGGAGCCTATTTTAGGCGGAGTTGTGTTTTTGGTGAAGGAAAAAGCCAGCACTACACCAAGCTTGTCTCGCATAAAAATATGAATGAGTGATCGGCGTATATTTTCAATGGGCCACTGACCTCAACTTCACCTCAGTATATTAGATATTGTGATTATTCTAATAAACTGCGTTAAAAAATTGCCGATGGTTGCTAAAAACCCTCGCGTTTCTACATTTTTAACAATCCCCGTCAACCCTAATACCCAGCGTCCATAGAAACTGGGACGAGCGATAACCATGACGTCATCAGAGGAACAGATTTGCGATGAGATTAACTGCTCTCAACGAAAATTGACGTGACACAGTTTTTCCTCCGTGTCGCTCTCAACATGAATATAATTTGATCGCCTTGATGTTTGTTGTTCCCACAGAGATTATTTCATGGTACTAAACAGCCTATTTGATCTTTTAATGAAAATGGCTAAAGTTATTGTAATAATTTTAGACTCCAGAGTTAACCTGTTGTATCTTAATCAAAATAGCAAAGGAAGACATTGTTAAATTGAGTAATATGTGTTTGGTGTAAATCCTTCACATTCCTAACATTAGTATGAATATTCTCCAATCTCCAAACTGTTCTCTATACATTTCCTTTGGTACTGAAAAGGAGAATTTGTTTAACAATCAAGGGCTTATTTAGCTGTAGATAATTTCCTTTACTCTCAAAATCCAAAGGCGGTACTCAAATGAAAAATTAGACGCTAGTTACTTTTGGGGATTAAATGTTAATTACAGTTGATAGCTAATACTACCTCAGGCTCTGATGAGAATTTTTTTAAAGTAAAGTTTTTGGGGACTAGTGTCCCTAATTTAGTAAAAATTAAACCACTGAACAAAAGTGCATGTGATGTTAATCAGTTGTTGCCTTGGTGAAGCAAATTTCATTCTTATGAAATTCTACAGTCAGACAGTAAGGCCTTGAAATATTTCAAGACTTAGTCTTTCTCATCATTAACCCTTAGCAGAATGCAAAAAATTCAAAATGTCCATACTTGACAATACAGTAAAATCTCAGTCACAAGCCCTTAGCTTAACCCTTCAACTCCCAAAAAATCTGAAACAAAATCTGATTGTTAATTCTCCCCTCTAGCTGCTACACATTTTCCTGTCAATCAGTTATGAGAATTTAGAGTTAGATCAAGCTAATTACTTCTACATGGTAAGTCTGAGTATTCTCA